CAGAGAAGTGTATCTCTCAGTGGTCAGGTTTTTAAAGGCAGTGTTCAATCTGAGACAGCCCCACAGTATCTAAATTCAGGTATCTTTACTTCATCTTACTTATTTCAAAATGACAAGCTTTTCGGTACAAATCATATATGCTTTAAATTGTGGCATGTATTGAGACAGTTATATAAAGTTTTATACTGAATGGTAAACTGCATGAAGCAGCTAATAAAACTTCTAAGTCTCTAAACAAGTTCCAATGAAAAATGATGAGTTACTTTGGAAAATAGTTTTTGAAAACTTGCTTCAATTTGTAAAAGAAACAGTTTAGTTCTTGCTTCAGTCTTGTAACATATCATCTATAACTTCTTATCTATAAGCACCTAACTGTACATATGTACACTTTTAATTTATGTATTATATGTAAATAGTGTATATACATGTGTATTTGTTTAGATGTGTGTGGGCATGCACATATAACCATATCAACATGGAGTGTTTTCTTCTTCCATACATAATTAACTTTAGTAAGTCAGTGCTGAACCCTGTCAAGGTTAAGTTTACTTTCCAAAGATTTTAAGTAAATGAAAGAAGCAGGCCCTTGTTCTCTGACTATATTCATTAGCGGACACTGACTTTCTTTACTGCTTTGTATTCTAGTTGCAAGACTGGAGGGAGGAAAGTTGCCTAAAGAAGCATGTGTTTAATTCTTCTGCTGGAAAATTTACAGTGCATTGGTCAGTTGCTGAGGCTCTCTTTGCCTCTAGTCTAGTTGGGATGAAGACAAATACTTGCTGAGACAGCTATGAGTTTATGAGCAGACTGTATTAAAAGTTATGTTGGGTGTATCACAGGCTTCCTGATTTGTCTGGGAATGAGAAGGAAGTACAGTAATGAGATAGGGAAGGATCATATTCCCATGAGCTCCTTAGTGTTTGAATCCGCCATTTGGCCATTGCTATCTTGTCCTGTCCTTTCATCTTCTTTTTTCTCCAACTAAAAAGCTTAAATTTCATAAGACAATCTAGTTTTTTTAGATCTTTCAGAGCATACATAGAAAATATATACAAATAGGTGGGCTAAAACATAGTGGTTTTTAATAAAAACTTCTCGAGGTCGTCCATTCTTTGACATGGAGGATGAAAAAATGAACTCAGAGAAGTTAAGCATGGTTTCCCTATGTCTTTAGTTTCTTCACCTTCTTTATTTTGCTCTCTTTTCCTTTGGTAAGGCCATGGCCCTATATTGACTTAAGACTATTATGGGTTCAATTTGCACATATAACTCAACTTGAAAAAATGGTTGCATATGGACCAGCAGTGATATGTAGTGGTAAAGATACTGGACTCCCAAATGGCTGACTGTGGTTCAAGTCCCAGACCTGTCAGCTTGAAGCTCATTCCAGGTATGTGTGCATGTGTGCCCAAAATCCTAAGAGGAGAGTAGAGGAGAAGGGATATGGCATGGCCATCTGCCTTGGGAGGTGATTTCTTGCTTTCTGTCTCTCTGTCTCTCTGATGAGTGCATGCATCCTATAGCAAAAATCTCTAAAAAAATTGTTGCACATAAATGTTCTTTGCATGTACACTAAGAATTAATGCATTCCTTCAAAGAGTAAGGATGGTTCTGTTTTTACTAGAAGCTTAAGCTCTTGTAGGTGACAAAAATAAAACCTAAGTTTCATAAAACACCATTTTGATAACAAAAGGAATCTTTTTTCTGTTCATAAAGTACAAAGGGGTCTTCAAAAAAGCTTAAGGAAAATACATATTATGAAAAAAAACTGTAGTTTTTTTTTAATTGCACCAAAATAAACTTTTACTTTAATTTCACTACAGATTTGTTTTGAAGTCCTCTCATAGTCCAAATGCTTGTCCCAGTACCTGGAAGAGAGGTGATATGCAGTAGAGCTTTCAGTTGGATGAATGGATAAGCAAAAGGAAGGGTGAAAGAAAAGGGAGGGAGGACATGAATGGAATGATGGAAGGTCTGGTGAACATTTCTGGGCTTAACTTTCAAAATACATTTTTTTTTTTTAGAGAGATTTTTTGCTATAGGGTGAGTTCACTTGCCCAAGGGACAGAGAGAGACAGAAAGCAAGAAATCACCCCCCAAGGAGAATGGCCACTCCACAATCTCTTCTCCACTCTCCTCTCAGGATCTTATGTACTTACGCCTGCATGCCTGGCATGAGTTTTATAAGCTACTGGATCCAGGACTTGAACTGCAGTTGACTACATGGGAGTCCAGTGACATAACTATTATGCCATCTACTGATCCCCAAAATACAGTTTTATAACCGGAGTAGTGGTGCTGCAGAGCAGCTAGACAGAGAGTACCAGCAGCCAGCCCCCAGCTGCCCTGAGGTAGGCAGTATACCAGAGCAGTCTGTGGGGTTCTGTAGTGCCTGTGCCTACTGTCACTATTTCCCTGAGACAGGACATAACTGTTATCCAGGGGCCTTGAATTTCTTTTCCCTATACTTGCTCTCTATACCAATCTTTTCCACTCCCTTCAGTTGTCCACCAATAGGCCCTAGTACTAGAAAGATAAATTGGCATGGTTCCATTGCAAACATATCTATATACCTCTTTATTTTACTTATATCAGTGAAAAAACAAAAACTTATCAATAAGACAAAGTTCTATTTCATTTCTGTTTTCCTGCTGTGTCTCTTCTCTGTACTTTATACTTTATTGTGATGCCATTATGACACAGTGGCATCTAGCCTAGCAAGAGTTTCTGAATGACTTTTTGTACCTATGGTTTAGGAAACCCTTGAGCTTTTTTAGTCTGAACTTTGCTGATTGCTTGTTTTAGTTTTGCAACAAAACATAGTTATCGTAGTCCATAGTTAATATAGTCCTGGGACTGAAAGTTTTGGGACCAGCAGTTAGCATAATGGCTATGTCGCTGAACTCCCATGTAGTCGACCATGGTTTGAGTACCGGACCTGGTGGCTTAAACTCATGCCAGGCGTGTGTGCGTGCATGCCCAAGATCCCAAGAGGAGAATGGAGGAGAATCATGGCCATCCCCCCTGAGGGGTGATTTCTCACTTTCTGTCTCTCTCTGTCTTTCTGGTGAGTGCATGTACCCTATAGCAAAAACCTCTCCCCCCGCAAAAAAGTTTTTATTCAAGCAGTGTGTAGTCATGAACACATCATGATATTGGAAATTAGAAAGACTGAGTTTTGAACCAGTGGGTGGTCTGGAGGTTAAGCCACTGAATCCCATATGGCCAACTGCATGGTTTGAGTCCTGTACCTAGCGGCTTGAAAATCGTATCAGGTACATGCGTGTGCCCAAAATCCCAAGAAAAGAATGGAGGAGAAGGGATTACAACATAGCTATCCCCCCTGGGGGAGGAGGGTGATTTCTCATTCCTCGCTCTTTTGGCAAATGTTAAGAGCCCCATAGTAGACCTTCCCCTAAAAAGAAAAGAAAAGAAAAGAAAAGAAAAGAAAAGAAAAGAAAAGAAAAGAAAAGAAAAGAAAAGAAAAGAAAAGAAAAGAAAAGAAAAGAAAAGAAAAGAAAAGAAAAGAAAAGAAAAGAAAAGAAAAGAAAAGAAAAGAAAAGAAAAGGAAAGGAAAGGAAAAGAAAAGAAAGATTGAGTTTTAAGACTATATCTACAAAGTTGGGTCCAGTGACACATGCCTATGGTCCCATCTCCTTAGTAGGTTAAAGCAGGAAGATCACAACACAGCGAGACCCAGCCTAAAATACTTTTACCCTTTTTTTTTTTAAAGAGGTTTTTGCTATAAGGGTGCGTTCGCTCACCAGACAAGAGAGAGACAGAAAGTAAGAAATCACCCCCTGGGGGGGATGGCCATGCCACAATCCCTTCTCTTCCATTCTCCTCTTGGGATCTTGGGCCTGCACGCCCCCGTGCCCGGCGTGAGTTTTAAGCTACCGGGTCTGGGACGCGAACTGCAGTCGACTACGTGGGAGTCCAGCGACATAGCCATTACTCTAACTGCTGGTCCCAAATACTTTTCCCCTTCACATATATATATACACACACATTACACCATCAAAAAAAAAAAGAGAAAATAAATTATGTCTATTATTGACTCATTGTATTTTTTGGACCATTTTGAAGGGACTTCTGCAAGTTCATGGAAAAAGAAAGTATGAATGTAGTAGGTGCAAAAAATGTGAAATCTATTTTCATAATACACATTTTCCATTAACATTTTAAAGTCCTCCTTATACTTTGTATATAATGTTCATTTTGTTTGTTTGTTTCTGTTAGGTTTGTGATAAGGTATGTGCTCACACTGGAGAGAGAGGGAATGTGAGAAATCACCCCCTGGGAGGATTGTCATGTCACAGTCCCTTATCCTCCATTTTCTTCTCAGGATTTTGGGCACACACACACATGTGCCCATTGTGATTGTCAAGCTACCCTGGTAGCTGGGACTCAAACCATGACTGACCATGCCGGAGTCCAGCACCTTAAAAACCAGGGAACCTGCTGACCCCAAATACTCTTTTTTTTTTAAATATGAAATCCTTCAGGAATTCTTGCATGAACTAATAAAAGAGATAATGGATAGTACATGTGATGTATGTGCTTAGTAAATAACTTATAGGTTTTTAAATTATTTTTCAATTTTATGTTTATTTTATGTGAGCATATGGTTAATATTTATCTTCTTTCCAAAATGTAAGTGCTGTGATCTCAAGAACTTTGATATTTTGTTCCCTACTGTATCTCTAGCCCCTTGTAAATGATCCAAGCTTCTGTCTCCCAAATGTCTGCTCTTAACCATGGCCCTTCCTCATCCCCTCCTTACCAGCTGAGTACTTGAGGTAGGATGCTGTGTGACAAACCCACTACCCATTAATCCCTCAGGAAACTGGACTGGGTCTTATTTATCTGTGTAGCCTCACACTTGGAGGACAGACTAGCAGTTAGGCAATTACTCCATTAATATTTGTTGTGTCACATATAGGAGATATTTGTTAAATGTCTGATGAAACAAGTGACTAATGTAAATCTTAATTTTCCAGGTGATTTTTGAAGTGATAACTTCTGGACATCAAGGCTACCTCGCTATTGATGAAGTGAAGGTGTTAGGACATCCGTGCAGTAAGTTGTCTTTATTTTTAAATATTCAGGCATATTTACATTATGGATTAAGAGAAAGGACTAAAACCTCGGAGAAGTCATCTTGCCAAGGGAGTTCCAGACAAGTTTCTAGGAGCTGGCTTGCTAGCTCACAAGTCCAAAAACATGTTTCAGGTGTAAACATCATGGTTTGTATGTATCTAATTTTTTTTCCCTGAGCAAGAGAGATGGGAGTGGTGGGGAGCGAGAGCACCCCCAACAGATTCTTGATGCCACAATCCATCCCCAACTTTAGCCAGCCAGCCAGATCCTGGGCCTAGGAGTGTTAGATGTACTCAAGGAGATCTCTAGACATGAACCTGGAACCTCCCCATGCAGGTCAGCCTTGTGGAGTTGCATTTTACTATGGTGCCACTGTCTAGGCCCTCGGTGTCTTTTAAAATGAAAATCAGGAATGGGGGATAAAGGAGTCTTTGGTGTGCTTGAATGGTGGAGAGCCTGCTTATTTGTTGACATGACCTTTAGATTTCTTTTCTATAGTAGTACAAGGTAAAATATTTAAAATCTGTGTGTTTTATTTTAAGTTTGATATGTTTTGGCAGAGTTCCTCAGTTTTTATCACATAGTTCTAAACAGTGTATCCCCAGGCAGAACTGGGATCTATCTAATGTAAGACACCTACCTTTACTACCTAGGAGACTCAGAATGACCTGTTCCTCATCTTTTAAAAATTAATACATAGGGCCAGCAGGTGGCATGGTAGTTAGAATGTTATACTCAAACGTGACTGACCATGGTTTGAGCCCTACACGTCGCATCTTTTTTTTTATTTCTTTTTATTATTATTATCATCATAATCTTCTTTATATTACATTGAGTTACATATAATTTTACAATGTATTACATTGCTTTTTCAAAAGGGAATGCCATGCATGTCAGTCAATACAGAGACATTAATCTCCCCACTTCATCATTCAATATCTTTTCTTGGTTGTTTTCTAATCATTATTATTATTATTCCAATTATTTTTTTAAAACAGTCAATCACTATTTCTCATTTTGCTTGTAAAAAGACTTCACCCATCATGAAATACTTCTCAGAACAATCCAGTTGAGAATACTATACATGTCATCACCAACAGGTAATAAGCCATATCTGTTTCTCACTAACGTCCTGCCTCTCTATTGTTCACTTGCTATCTTTCTCTATCCTCTTCTCCTCACCGCCCCCCCCCCATTCCACCCTGTCCTATTCTCGTTAAGTACCTTCACTGCTTTTATGTCCTCCAATTTTTCACTCTCTACCATAGAGTGCGGATAGTCGGTATATATTGAGTGGATACATACAATATCTTTCTTTCATAGCCTGGCTTACTTCACTCAGCAATAGATCTTGATAATCATGCTGGGTGCGTGCGTGTGCATGCCCCCCCCCCATTCCACCCTGTCCTATTCTCGTTAAGTACCTTCACTGCTTTTATGTCCTCCAATTTTTCACTCTCTACCATAGAGTGCGGATAGTCGGTATATATTGAGTGGATACATACAATATCTTTCTTTCATAGCCTGGCTTACTTCACTCAGCAATAGATCTTGATAATCATGCTGGGTGCGTGCGTGTGCATGCCTAATATCCCATTAAATAATAATAATATTTAAAAATATTTTAAAAATACTTTAGGTTATAAACACTTGGTTTTTTGTTTGTGTTGTTTTGTTTGTTTTTGAGAGGTTTTTGCTATAGGGTGCATGCACTCACCAGAAAGACAGAGAGAAACAGGGAGGCAGAAAGCAAGATATCACCCCCCAGGGGATGGCCACACCACAATCCCTTCTCCTCCAATCTCCTCTCGGGATCTTGGGTACGCACGCACATACGCCCGGCATGAGTTTAAGCCACCAGGTCCAGGACTCGAACTGCGGTCAACTACATGGGAGTCCATCAACATAGCTATTATGCCAACTGCTGGTCCCACACACCCTTGTTTTAACACCTAATGTGAAAAACTCTTAACAGTTTGTTATATTTGCATGTGAACTTTATTTTTACATTATTAACTTCTTCATTTACTTTATCTTTTTTTATTTTTTTTTTTAAGAGAGTTTAAGCCACTGGTCCAGGACACGAACCGCGGTCGACTACATGGGAGTCCAGTGACATGGCCATTATGCTATCAGCTGGTCCCTTTTTTTTTTTCATTTAGTTTATCTTTTTCTTTTTTAGAGTACATTATTTACTTTTTCCATGAGTGAGAAAGACTGAGACAATGAGACAGAGAGAGAGAGAGACAGCACTTCCAACAGGATCATGATGCCCCAATCTACCAGACTTGTAATAACATGGAATATGCACATGCCTAGTCAGACTTGTAATAACATGGGATATGCACATGCCCCATGTGCTCAGGGTGATCTCTGGACTCGAACTGGAAACCTTCCCATTCGAGTCAGCCTTGTATAGCATTGCATTTTACCACTGTGCCTCTGCTGATCCTTAGCCTCTTTTATTAAATATTGCAGATTGCCAGCTCCATTTCTTTCTCTTCCCAGGGGCCACTTGGTAGTGAGCCGGTCATTGTGACTTTCCATCTGTATACTTTCTAGTCCACAGGCAGCAGCAGCAGCAGCAGCAGCAGAAACTAGCTGCTTTAAGCACAGAAACAAACTTTGTATAGCAAGGGGACTGGATAGCAAATAGAATTCCTGGGAGCAATGGTGGTCTAGAGTAAGATATTGTGCTGCCACCAAAAGTGGGGCTATGTGGGGAGACCACAGTGACTATGGCAAAAGGGCTGGCTCCAAGCGGGCACAATGCATCTGTCCCCCTTAACTTAAAGGTGACCTTTGTCGCCAGTGCCTGGATGCTTTCTGTCTCTGGGCCTCTGCCTTCTTGTCCTGAGGTGCACAGCCCTGAATGGGATTGTCAGGGTAGGAAGTTCAAACACATGCTCATTACCTTGCAATCAGTGGGGCCTAGGAAAGAAAGTTGTTGGCTTGCCCCACTCTGTCATGGGATCTGGGCCTCAGCTTTTACCAAGAAACATGGAGTGCTGAACAATCAAACCCTGTCAATGTCTGTCTGAGTGCTTGTGTATATGTGTGTGTGTATGCATGTGTCTGTGTGTGTGTGTGTGCGATCTCACAAACCCAAGAGAAATATGTAGAAAAAAGACTGAATGGGATTGTCAGGGTAGGAAGTTCAAACACATGCTCATTACCTTGCAATCAGTGGGGCCTAGGAAAGAAAGTTGTTGGCTTGCCCCACTCTGTCATGGGATCTGGGCCTCAGCTTTTACCAAGAAACATGGAGTGCTGAACAATCAAACCCTGTCAATGTCTGTCTGAGTGCTTGTGTATATGTGTGTGTGTATGCATGTGTCTGTGTGTGTGTGTGCACTGTTTCCCATAATCAGTACATATTTCTAAAAAGCAAATTAAATAAATAAATTCAAATGAATTATGGTATCTAACTGTAAGAATTTTTGTATATTCTTTTCTTTCTCCTACTTAGTATTACATTTTTTTTAGGTTAGTCTATGGTATTCTATCAGAATATACTACATTTTATCTTCCTATTCTTTTATGGACATTTAGTGTCCCTCCCTACCCCCTAAGTATTTCTCTACTAAAAACATTGCTGCAGTGAACATCTGTGTGTGTGTTCCTGGTGCAATGCATGAGCATCTTGGTGGGAGATATTCTTAGAAGTTGAATAGCTTGGATGGAGGGTAGAAAAATTTTTTGTTTTATAAGATGCTGCCAAATTGCTATGAAAAGTGTCTGAACCAGTTTATATTCCCAGCAGTAATGAATAGAAGTTTTATTTTCCTATATCCTTGCCCAAAATTGATATTGTCAGACTTTAAATTTTGGGCCATCTGAGGGATGGCAGCCTGCTTTATTTTTAGAATCCCTGGCATGAAAAAGAAATTGGTTAGTTCATACATTTCATGAATCTCTGCTGATGGCCGCTACCCAATTCATGGGAGAACAGTTGTATCTATGGTATTAGAAATATAAACACTTGCAGGATGGTCTCAGCTTGTTATTCCATGGATTTGAATAGACTTTTAGATCACTCTCAGGAGTAGTTATAGAGAAGACTGGTGTGGTTGTTACAGAGGAGGGTTTCATATTACAGTTGTTTGATCCTGTCAAAAAGAGTTTTGCTTTCTCTGATATCTTTAGTTGGTGCGTTGAAGTTCGCCAAACACAAAAGTTAATGTACAGCAATCAATTCATAAAGAAGGCAGACATTACTTCTGCAGTATGTCATATTTGCCTTTTCTTTCCTGTCAGCATGACTGGGGAGCTCAAGAGGAATTTCTCTTCCTTTTTCTTAAAAAGGCAGGACACTGAACAAGGCTCTACCTAATTGAAACAGCAGGGTAAATTTAGGCAGCAGATTATAATTACCTGAGTTGGAACTTGGCCACATCCTCAGAGTAATAGCTCTGGGCTTAGAAAAGTGCCCTGGGATCTTCTAATGTACAAAAATGCTATGGCTTGATTCACCTCTTACAAAGAGGCAAAGAAATCAGACTTAGTAATACCACATGCCTACTAAGTGCTGAGTGCTCTCCCTGTTTCTTAGAGCAAATCTTGCTACAAGGCAGATGTTGCTGCACCTGGAGTAGGTGCAGCAACTGCAGCTTGAGGTCACACAAAGCTTCCTCTCCTGTGTCCTGGTTCCTTGTTCTGTGTGTGTGCCACTGGCCAACATCATATCTTCTCCAATGTAGCCCCTTTCCTTCTGTTCCATGGGATTTAAGTCATTGCATTCAGCAAAGACATAAAGATTTAATGTTTATCCCCCTTTTAGTGCCTTTCTGAAATGTCCCCTGCAGTTTTGTTATTTCCTTAGGAGCCAGCTTCCTATGGCCATAGAAACGGTGTTTATGTTTTCTCCTTTGGAGAATACCTGTGCTAATACCTAATTGGCTTTGTGAACTGCTGTTAGGAGGCAAAGATTGCAAAACGGGTTCAGTACCAAGGTGATGTATGGTATAACAGCATTTTGA